TTTGTAAAATGTTATTTTTTCCTTATATTTTTTTCTTTTTTCAATTTTGAGCTCTTTGAATTTTTTTCTACATTTTGAATAAAAATGTTTTGAGAAGATTGACTATTTCAGAGGAAACATGGCTTGGTCATCAAAAGCATGAAAGTATAACATTCTGCAGAAATATTACCACTAGTGGGTCTCTAAAAAAGGTAGCCAAATAACTAGATATCTGAACTTGTAGTTATCTATGTAGTACCTACTATTATGTAGTAATTATTTATAGATTTTTCTTATTCAATTCTATTATTCTTTATTACGCAAAAATATAAATAGGTTTATTGTATTATATTTATATACTTTTGATTTAATTTCATTTTTAGGATGGGGCTACAAGGAAGGACTAGATTGATCGCTGTTTTTAATCTTTCAGTTGTTAATGATTGCTGTCAAAGAACTGTTAAACTCATAAAGGACAACATTGATATTGCCTGAAAAAAAGAGAAAAGACAGGATTCACTTTGATTTTTGATTATTTAGAAAAGGAAGTATGGAGGATAAAGCAAGACATTCAAGTAAAAAAAAAAAAAAAACAATTAAAAAATATAATATAATATTTTCAAAAAATAAAAACAATTTTAAATAAATTTGTTAAATGAAATTGCTAGACGTTTTATGCATTGATCATCCTGGTCGTATTATAAAAATCCGGAAATTGTTTCGGTAAAATATCCGGAAAAAATACGGAATACATTTTCCCTTATATTCCCCTTGATTTTGATTTTAGCTGAGTTGTTACCAATTTTTTTTTTAATTTCATTAATTTTTGAGTATATTTCTTGTATGAGCAATGAGTAAAATTATTAGCTCATATTTCTTGTATAAGCAATAAGTAAAAAAGCTTAAAAAAGAAATATATTACAAAAATATGTACCTAAACTTGTACCATAAAATGGGGTGTATAGCAACAGTTTGTGGCCTTTTGACTAACACAGATATTCTGTTTAAGCCCTGAAAAGGGTTGTAATGCATGCCAAGGACTTTTTCCCTATTCAGTGGAACAACGCCACATTTTTTGAAACCAGAAACATTCGCTTCTTTAAGTGACACAAATAGCTCTTTTAGAAGAGGTGGGAATCGATCCTTTGGCAAAGACGCTTCACTTCTTCCTGGGCCTTGTTTCCATTTTAAAAGGATGGGTCTCCAAGTCTGTTTAAGGGGGTGGAAGAATGCCACGTCCAGTGGTTGTGTAAGGTGAGTGGAGTTGCTTGGTAAAAATACGAATTTGATGTTATGTTCTTGACATATTTTAATGACATCTACAGATAGGTGTGAAGCCAAGTTGTCACCTAACAAGACCTTCACTCCTTTGAGTTTTGATAAATGTGGTACTGCAATGGTCTGGACCCAGTCTTGAAAGCAATACAAATCAAACCACCCTGATTTCGTTCTGTTGAATCTCGAGTTTGGTGGTCCCCCAACTCTCCAGCTGTCATACATGTGCTGAGCTTTGTATACTACATAAGGCGATAAGATGGTCCCGTCACTAGCAGCGGCAAACAGAACCGACACTGAAGCCTTTGTAGAGTTCATAACTCTTTCAGGATACTCAGGATACAGCCCCACCGAGCTATAACCACTTTCCGGCCCGGGTTGTCGCATAAGTTGGTTTCATCGTAGTTGATGATATTACTTGCCGGAACATCTTTTAGTTCTGTAGCAAGATGGTCAAAGTATTCATTTATAGTCTCTTCATTAACTGCCGCTCTCGACCGTTTAATATTTTGACACATGGGAGCCGATAGTTCCTTCTTGTGTCGTTCCAGGAAGCTGTGTACAAAATCAGGCCCAGGCATATTATCCTTGAATTTTGGGACAGTTTTGCCCTGCATTTCAATATAATCCTTAATTAGCAGTCTCAAAGTAATTGAGTCAATTGGATATCCCCAATCACTGCAGATCTGAAGTCTACTAACTAAGAGGTTTTCATCATATTCCGACAAAGCGGCTTTGCCACCTTTTTTCTTAGTTTCACATCTTTTCATGTCTGAAAAGTACAGTATGATCTATTTCATATTTTTCTGCAATTTTTCTAAAACTACCACCAATTTGTACTTCATTAAGAGCTTTTTTAATCACTTCAGGGTCATACTGCCTGCATTTTTTAATACTCACATACTTTAGAGACATCCTCTTTCAGGCCACAAATCATACCTGAAACAAAAAAACAGCTCTTATAGTAATCAAATAAATATATTTATATAATCTGTGATCAAGTTAAATACTTACAGTCAGTATTTATGTTAAAAATAACAAAAAAAAACAATCAGCTGTTGTTTATGAGAACTAAGGGGTGAATAGCAACAGAAAAAAGTGTGTTGCTATTCACCCCAGGTTTTGTTAAAACCATGCCTAACCTAAAAAATTTATTTTGTATAAATAAGTTATTATTATTTAGCTTAAAGTCATTTAAGTTTTGTTTGTAAGATACATAAAGTCACCTTTAAAACAATATGATAAATTAATTGAAATAACAGTGTCATACTTACAGTCAGAGCTTTTGACAAACAAATTTTCTCAAAGATTTTCAGCGGCAAATCAATCAACAACAACAACCTCAAAAAGGGATGCCAACATAACTAAATATAATTTCTCTAACAAAACAGGTAATTACCCATATTTCAGAATGAAAATTCCCTTTGCATTTAAAAGGGATCATAAGTAGCAAATTTTCAAAATATTTATGAAGTTTTGTTGCAATTCACCCTACTGTTGCTATACACCCCTACTGTTGCTATACACCCCATTTTACGGTATGTATGGAAAACATTTTGGATATCCGGAAAAACTAAAAAATTGAGAAAAATATCCGAAATTCCGGAAATATCCGGAAAAAGATAATCCCTGGTTATATGCAATATATCTGGATTTTTTACCGAACGACTTAAGATATCTGAAAAGATATTACATTGCATGAAAATCGGTAAAAAGTTGCATAAACTTGCGATTTTGTAGATAGATTAATTTAAAATATTTCAGATAAATAAAAATATCATGCACTTTTATTTGTTTCTTCTAACTTAGAAGAAACTCTGGAAAGAAAATTAAATTGAATTACTTTAAGTTTTAGAACATGCTCAAGTGTGCCGAAAATGGGCTTAAAAAAAGTTAAGAAAATTCAAAAAATAAGATAATTGAGGCACTTGAGCAACCTCTAAAAATGGTCAAAATTATAAAAATAATAATAATTTACAAATAAAAATAGATATGATTCCATGGTACTTTAAATTTTTTTATGACCTCAAAATGAAGCAGTCTAAGGTGCAGATAATGGTTTGGTTGCAAAACTCAAAAAAATTATCAAAAAGAACTTATACCTTTTAGGGTACTTGCTGCATTATGATAAACTGTCATTAAAACACATATTTGAATTAGATGGAAATAAAAACGGACCTAACTTTTTTCAATACAAACTTTATTAAGGACCAATAAAAACTTTATAAAGGAACAGTGAAAACTTTATTAAGGATCAATGAAAACTTTATTAAGTACCAATGAAAACTTTATTAAGGATCGATAAAAACTTTATTAAGGACCAATGAAAACTTTATTAAACATCAATGAAAACTCTATTAAGCACAAATGAAAACTTTATTGAGAACCTCTATCTTAAAAAGTTTCTCGAAAAAAAAACTGGACCAAGTTAAGTCAGATAACTAACTTTAGCTTTAAGAATAATAATGGCATATGTTAGGACTAAATAAATCTCCAGAGTTATTAGCAAAACTGAGTATAATATTTAAGTTTATTGGGTAATAAGGTTTCCTATTAAGTGCTCTGGAAAATACAAAGATAATTGCCAACTTCTGTACAAAAACAGTACTTTATGGAGCAAAATAAAAATATAAATATTACTTGGGTATGAGACATCAAAATGGTTAAAAAGTCAATAAAAAGTGATTATTCAATCCTAAAATCCCGAAACCAATATAAGTAAAAGAAAACTGAAGTGATTGTTTTATTTTATTAACAGTAGAATAAATAAATTGCAAGGTGGTTTTTTGATATTTTGAAAAAAAAACACTCTTTTTTCAGTCATGTTGATGACTAGGCAATAATGAACCACAACAACATTATAAAGGCAGATTTGTGGCTTTGTAACGTTGAAAGTGTTCTTTTAAGCTCTACTTACTAGACGGTGTTTTTTTTTCAAAATCACAAAGAGTCACCCTGGAATTTGTTTATCACAAACATAACTTAAACACAATTTAAAGGTAAAAGTAGCGCTCCACATTAAATGGCAAAATACCTCACTTAATAAACATTATACTATAAATAAATCTCTATAATTTAAACTGCCAGTTTATTTTATTTTAATTTTATTAATTGACTATTTACTGAGTTATTTTTGTAATTAATTTTATTAGTTTATTATGCATACTTTTTGTTCATTATTATTTCATTAATTCTATTTTTATTATTTATTTCCAGAGTTGTTAATTGTAAAAGATAAAACTTTTGAAAGTGTAAATACATATTTGCTATATATTTTTTGCAGAAAACACTTATTTCAGAATGACCGAGAGTTGTTGCTATTCTAGTATCATATAAAGGTTTAAACATTTTTTTACCAAACTTTGACAAAGGATGACATTGATGATAATGATGATGATGATGATGATGATGATGATGATGATGATGATGATGATGATGATGATGATGATGATGATGATGATGATGATGATGATTTTAATACTATTAAAAATTCTTTAAAATGTCAACTTTGGTCTCTAAAAAAATAATATACACTTTATATTAAAAACAACAAAAAATTAATTAAAATACCCTTGAAAAATGAAATTTTTTGTTTTTTATGAAAATTTTTACAAAGTAAACAGTTCTAGCATATATGTTTCTAAAACATGATAAATAAATAAAAAAACAACTATTTAAACTAACACTACAAAAGAAACACTAAACAATTAATTGTATAATATTTTTTATAAATTAAAAAAATAAACCTTCTTTCACCACATCCATACAAATCTCAGCAGCTTGCTTAAAATCTCCTTTTGCAACAAGCATATTTGCTTGACCAAGTTGTAACCTTGCCATTTCACTTAATTTTTGTCTTACAGCATATGTTCTCTTGCGAAACTGAAAATTGTGTAAATCTTGAAAAATATCTTGTTCTAAATCTAAAAAAAAAATTATAGTGTAAATATAACTATTTCATAGACTACAAACTTAATACTTTAAAATTAAGAACTTGAACTAATATATATACCTTCTGGGCAAAAAAAATAAGACCAATTTTTTTAAGTTTTATTTTCAAAATAATAAATGAATAATAAAATTGTTCAATAGAAAATAAAGAGTAAAGCCTAATTTTATATTGATCAATATCTGGTCACATGTCCTTGGACTTCTATGCATTTTTGAACACGACAATTTATACTGTTAATTAATGACTTCAAATAATCCAAAGAAAGTCTGTTCGAAACTTCTTGAATCACAACCTCTAAATCATCTTTTTAGAGTTAACTCAGCTTCAGAAAGTTTCTTTGTATTTTTCACTATTCACAGTGCCTTTGATTATAAGCAATGTTTTACCTTTGGAACTAATTGTCCCCCAAACAAAGGGACTCTGTTTGAACTTTGGTTGGCCAATTCTCGGTCGTTTCTTTGCCCACCGACTTTCTTAAGTTCAAAATAACTTCAAACGACTCTGGTCACTAAATACTCATTGATTCTATCTGGTTCTTAGGTGTTCTTCACACCATTTTACCCTATTTCTTGTTGAACAGGAGTCAATAGGGTTGATTTTTGGGAACAAAAACCAACCCTATTGATAAAAAAAACGAAGTACCCACTTCAGTTAAGATAATGAGTAATGGTTCTGGGAGCTACCTTGGGACTACCTTTATTGATTAATTCAATTTGAATATCTTAGGCGGATTGTGTGTCATCTTTTTAAGCTAATTGAATAAACCGTTGTTGGTCCTTTAAATTAAGTTTTAGTGGTCTACCACTTCCTTTCTTTCTCTCCAGGCTCATTCCTTCCCTCATTTTCTTTAAATATCTTGCAACTGTTGCCTTAGGTATCCCAGTTAATACTTTTAACACTTTAGGTCTTTATAACCCGCTTTAAAAAAAAAATTAAGTGCCAACGCAGACGACTTAATTTTTAAAATAGATATTTTTAGGTAAGCAAGAAATAATAATGAACACATAGATTTTTTGATGAATATATATGCACCTGATAAATCAAACAATGGGTTTCATGAAATACAAAAAAATTCATTGTATGACTTGCCTAAAGTTGTCAAAATACGAACAAAAGTTTTGCATACACAGCCTTTTTTTTTTGTCCGGAAGATATATATATATATACAATAGAATAAAAAAATAAATACATATATATCAGGCTTTCCCAGGAAAGGCGTGCGGTCGCACGCCTTGTTTGTCCACGCATAGAATAAATTTTTCTGATTAACTGACCACGTTTTATTATTATGCGTTTCAAGAATTCGCGCCAAAACAAAGCTAAACGAAAATACCGTAAAAATGCAAGCAATCTTAAAGTGAATATCAGAAATCTGTTTGTGCTTTCAAATTAAAAAATTAATGCACATTATTAAAAAAAAAATTTACCTATAATTTATTTATTTAGGGTGGTAGTTATTTAAGCTATGAAAAATCAAATCAATAAGAAAAATCAAATCAAAAAGAAAAAGATTAATGCTTAAAGAAAATAAAAGGACCTTTTAATGTAAAATTTGTTTATGACTTTTATCAGTCAGTAATACTTTAAAATTCACGATAGAACTATAAACAATTTTTAAATGTTTAGTAAATACATTTAAATGTTTAAATGTATTGATTTTAATGTTTGAATGTATTGATACGCAAGAAAACACGAAAACGATTGCTATTTATTAGTAAAATATGTTTGTTTGTTTTTTTAAATGAAAGAAAATGTTATTGTCAAACGATTGAGTTGCTTATTTTGCGATCATTAATTGACATTGTGAACGAGTGTTAATATATAATAATGTCCCAAAGGACATTATTATATATTATAATAATGTTCTTTGTATATACTGTTTTGGTAACAACGACAACAGAAGCAATGCAATTATTTTTTTAACTTCTTTCGTAATTACAAAATTATGCAATTGAATAATTTCAACGTAATAAAAGGCGAGCATTGACTCAGTAAAATCAGTTTAGAATAAGTCGAGAACTTTTTTCACATTAAAATTTTGTTATGTTTAAAATCTTAAATAATATATTTAATAATTAAAACAGCAATTTATTTTCTTGTCTATGTATTGGGGAATGAAGTCGTTGCCTTTGCATAAACCTTCGTAAAAACTAAATTAAATGAAAAAGTTTGACCAAATTTGTCTAGCGTAAATAATGAATCAATTTTTTAATACATTGTCTGATAAAGTTTGTGAATAAATTACGTATCAAGTCTTTTTATTTTCGTAAAAACTTTATGACTTATCGTCGTCTTTTCCTTGACTTGTATCAAATTTCGTAGCTAAAAATAGCAACCCTAATAAAAGAAAACAAAAACAGTATAAAATTTTGAAAAAAATGTTCAAGACTTTTTTTTTTTTACAAGAATTTTTTTTTTTTAATTTTTTTTTATTATCGAAATATTTTCCTTACATCTAATTTCAATTTTATACTTTGTTTAGACTTCATTTCATTTTTTAAATATTATTTTTTATTCTCTATGGATAATTTCCGCTTTCTTACAAAATATTGCCGCGGTAACATTTTCTGAAAGATTTATTCTATGCGTGGACAAACAAGGCGTGCGACCGCACGCCTTTCCTGGGAAAGCCTGATATATATATATATATCAGGTTTTTCCAGGAAAGGCGTGCGACCGCACGCCTTGATTGTCCACGCATACATTTTTTTTTTAGAAATTGTGACCGCGGCTCTATTTCGTGGGAAAGCGGAACTTATCCTCAGAGAATAAAAAATAATACTAAAAAAAGGAAACGAAATCTTAACAAAGTATAAAATTGAAATTAGGATGTAAAAAAAATATTTTAATAAAAAAATAATTCTTGTAAAAAAAAAAAAAAAAAATCTCAAATATTTATTTCAAAATTATTATACTGCTTTTGTTTTCTTTTTTTAGGGTTGTTATTTTCAACTACAAAATTCGATACAAGTAAGGAAAAGATGACTATAAGTCATAAAAATTTCACAAAAATAAAAAAAACTTGATACGCAATTTATTCACGAAATTCATCAGTCAATATATTAAAAAACTAATTTATTTTTTAAGCTAGACAAACTTGGTTAAACTTTTTCATTTTATTCAGTTTTTACAAAGGTTTATGCAAAGGCGATGACATTATTTCACAATAGTTAGACTAGAAAATAAATTGCTGTTTATTATTAAATATATTGTTTGAGATTTTAAACATAACAAGATTTTAATGTGGAAAAAAGTATTAAAAACTCATTTAAATAAAATTGAATATAATTAATAAATCTAAATTGTTTCATTACAATCATTAGTAAAGTAGTCTTCGTCCATGGATTTGCTGTGTTCTTCATCTGAACCTGATGTGCTACCCTCGTTGGAACTGTCATCACTGTTGCTGGATCCTTGATACTGTTTATCTGAACACGATGGTTCTGAAGAACTTAATTTATTTTCAACTGGTATAGTTGCTTGCTTTATATTTGTATGAGCTTCAGCAATATCAGTTTTCGACGTATTTTCTTTGTTTAACATTTCTGGTTGAATAGGAAATTTAACAACTCTACATTTTTCCAAGTATTTGTAAACAGCTTCTTTTATTATATCTTTACGCTGATCATCTGTCCATACATGGCAATTTCCAGCAATAAACAAGCACTGTTCCATGGTACTATGTTTCATTCTGAGCCGATGGTCTGTAAGGATAGTAGATAGTGTACTGAAACATCTCTCTACTACGCTGTTTGACGATAATGAACAAAGGCACAACTCGGATAACAAAAGGATATTTGGAAAATCTTTTCTTTTGTATGTAAATAGTTTTTGCCAAATTTCTATGAAAGTTGACTTAGAGTAAAACGAACTTACTAATTATTGCAAAGTCTTCCATTCTTCATAAACCATTGCTTTTTTGAAGTTTGCTTCTTCAAGCAGTTCGCGAAAATATTCCATAAGATAATTAATACTTTCCCGTCCATTATTTTGATTGTCAGTCCAATACTTAGGATCAAGCCATATCATGGACGTGAACGCAGGATTATCTTTAAATGATGCAAATCGACTATTAATTAATGGTATTAATATGTTGATGCAATCTTTTCTCAGCTCCAAAGCTCTTTCAACGTCTTCTTGTTTTGGGTTTATCATTCCCTCAAGTTTGATATCGATGAAATTTTTATTCCTTTTCTTTTTTTTGTTGCCAGCGATTATATATCCAGATTCAAGAATAATAATACCACCGTCTTCTTTAATAATAAATTTTCTGCAGTCAGTGCAGTCAACTGTGTTATTGTCTGGACAATATGGGGATCTACTTCAAAGGCAAATAAAATATCTTTTTCAAAAAAAAGCGACAAAGGGCTCATTGCCTCGAGTACATCCAGGTACGCTCCGCTTTTGCATAGAAAGGCATAATTTGTTAATTTCCTTACAAGCCTCTGTATTTTGGCTCTTGCTTGGTTACCATACCCTTTGTTAGTTAGTGCATTTCGTAAAGCAACTAGATAAGCTAGCCAGTTATGCATTAAACTAGTGTAACCCTTAACACGATGCAATGCAAATCGGGTTTCTTGAATTTTATTTAGAGCGTAATACTCGATAGATAAAGCAGCGGCAGCATGTTTACACGACTCCTTCAGTTTACCTGACTTTTTTAAAAGATAAAATAAAGTCGTATAAAAAAATTGTCGCAATCCCTAAAGTCTTTAAACTGCTTTATAGCATCTTTTATAGCGAGCTCTAATCTGTGATTAATACAGTGTATGTTAATTAACCATGGTCTTGTTTTTCTTAATTGAGTTAATGCACCACTATAGATACCCAGATTAACATTCGCTCCATCAGCTGTTGCTGATACTAACTTTGTACAATAATTCGTAATGGATAATGGAATGTTGCATTTAGCTATAACATTTTCAATGAATACACTATCCAATGTCAATTTTAAGGAGTCAGCATCAACTCCACCAAAATCCGCCATATTACACAATGCAACAAAAAATAACATAAATAACAATAACAAAATAACACGGGATACCAGCATTTTCAAATTTAACTAATATGGCTTCTTTTTCGCTGCCTGTTTTTTGCGCTTGGCTACCATCAGACAGCAAAGCCATAAAAGATTTGCTGGCAATAATAGTCGCTACTTTCACCTGTATTACCTCGGCAATGCAATCAATGAATTCTCTGGCTAAAATAAAAAATGCAACATAAATTAACTTTAATTTTAATTCATAAGTTGTTCCAAAATAATTTTGTAAAATTACATAGAAATATTGAAAAATATAAAACTATAAATTGTATATATTTAAAGTGTTAAACATAAAAAAACGATAGTTAAAATATGTTTTAAAGGTTATTGCACCCCTCCCCCACCTGTTCCCACACATGTATATATATATATATATATATATATATATATATATATATATATATATATATATATATATATATATATATATATATATATATACATATATATATTAAATGAAGCTACCAGCATTTTTGTTGCTTTTTCCATGCATTAATTGGACACCATTATCACGTCGAACCTTTACAAGTATCTCAAAATGCCTATGTGGCATAGCAGGATGCAATGCCATTTCATATGCTGTGCGCATTAACTTTAAAAATGCTTCAAAAGTTGATGCTTTTTTTGAGTTATCGGTATCCGTTATTGAACTCTGAGATTCATTCATTTTAATTATAGAAGGAGAGTTACTAACTTTCTCCAATCGCACAGCCTCTTTATGTGCCTTTGTTAATAAATGCCTCATAACCTGTAATATAGGTATGATAAGTAAGATTACATCGTAATGCATAGATACATATTTTTTACCTTTATAATGTACTATATATTATAAATATTAAACCTGATGATGTGTTACAACATTTGTTCCATTTGTAAAAGCATTTAAAGAATTTCTAGCAATCCCCAATATTGAAGTGTGAATGTTGTTTTTATGCTTAGCACACAGTTTGCACCAGATTTTAACAACAGTGCCTATTTTGTTCAAATTTATAACTTCTTGACCGCGAAAATTATATTTCCATGATTAAACAGTTTTTAGTGATTTTGTGATTTTCTCTCTCTTGACTTATTCTAACCTGATTATACTGAGTCAAAGCTCGCCTTTTATTACGTAGAAATTATTCAGTTGCATAATTTTGTAATTACGAAAGAAGTTTAAAAAAATGATTGCATTGCTTCTGTAATCATTGTTACAAAAACAGTTCCCTCAGGACATTTATTTTTAACACTAGTTCACAATGTCAACTATTGGTTGCAAAATAAGCAACTCAATCATTTGACAAAAAAATTTTCCTACGTTTGAAAAAAAAAAGAAAAAACATATTTTAAAAATAAATAGCAATTCGTTTTCGCGCTTCCTTGTGTACCAATACATTTAAACATTTAAATGTATTTATGAAACATTAAAAAACATAAATTTAAAAATTGTTTATAATTCTAGCGTGAATTTTAAAGTACTACAGACTGCTAAAAGTTGTAAACAAATTTTACATTAAAAGGTCCTTTTTATTTTCATTAAATTTATATAAACTACAATCTTTTTCTTTTTCCTTGATTTGTATTGATTTGATCTTCATAGCTGAAATAACTACCACCCTAAAAAACAAGAAAAAATAAATAAATGAAATATAGGTAAATCTTTGTTTTATTAATATTCATTATTTTTTAAATTTAAAGCACAAACAGATTCCTGTTATTTACTTTAGAATTGCTTATATTTTTGCGGTATTTTCGTTTAGCTTTATTTTGGCGCGAATTCTTGAAACGCATAATAATAAAACGTGGTCAGTTAATCAGAAAAATTTATTCTATGCATGGACAAACAAGGCGTGCGACCGCACGCCTTTCCTAGGAAAGCCTTATATATATATATATATATATATATATATATATATATATATATATATATATATATATATATATATATATATATATATACATTTAATCTTTTAAATTATATCATTATTTTAATCTATTTTAATTTTCTTGCTGGTAAACCATGGGATATTTGAATTTGCTCTATGTATTGGAGCATTATCTTGCTGGCAAAATAAAATTTAAATTTCCAAATTTCGTGTAATATCCTTCAAATAATCATCCAACAAATTTTTATATCTTTAGCATTCAATTTAGTAGTAATGAAGCTAATCCTACTTTTCCTAAGCCTTTCTCCAACCCCAACTCATTACCTCTCTGATTCGAAGAAGCTCTTCTTTTTAAAAATATTTTCTTTTTTCTAATGTTATGCCAGTAATAATTAAAGCCATCTGGACCATTAAAATTAATTTTTTTTTATTGGATCATATAATTTTTTGCCTTTTATTTTGTCAAGTCCTTGGCCATTAAAAACAAATGTGTTTGTGTGCTTTAGTGCTGAAAATGTGCTTGCAAGCAATTGTCCTGCTTGATCAACGCAATGACCTGTAGGCTTTAATCTTGCCTTTTTCTTTTTTTAAATTGTAATTCCTCTTGGCATTAAGTATGCCAAATGAAATTACAAGCTGCTCATTAAAATGTATTTGATTGAATAAATTTAATTTAAAAATGGAATTCATTGCTATTTATTTTATAGCTTTTGGTGTAACAAGGTTATAATTATGTACCACGGTTTTAAACAATTTTATAATTTGAATTAATTAAAGAATGAATAGTTTCGATTGAAGTATGTTATTTCAAAAAAAGATCTAGAATCAGAATTATAATATATATATATATATATATATATATATAATATATATATATATATATATATATATATATATATATATATATATATATATAAATGTGTATATATTTGAAACCTTTTTGTTTCTTCAATTTGATATGTTTATTTGCAGTAGAAGTTGAAATAACTGATGGCAATTTTAACATTAGTGATTTAAGTTCAACACCTTGTAATGAATCATCTTCAGCATTATAATCAGACACATTAGAAAATGATACCGATCTTAATGGAGTGTCAAAAAACTCTGCTGAAGCTGCTGTTGGTAATGCTAAAAAAAATCCAAAATAATAAAGTGAATATTTTTTCATTATAATAAATTGAATATTTTTTCATTATAATAAATTGAATAATTTTTCATTATAAAAAAAAATTATTGTAGAAACTACATTGATTTTATAAAAATTTTGACTTAAAATCACTCAATATACAAAAACAAATGACACATTTAATTGTAACTAAATAAAATTATTTTGCCATTTTTAAATCTCTATGTGTTTAAAAATTATTTCCATGGAAAGTTTGAACTAAAATAAAATTTTTAGAACCAGAAATAAAATGAGTCTCCGGTTTGTAATGATACATATTTTACTTGTGATCTATACTTACATATTTATATGAACATATTTGTATAGTAATACTATTATTGAATATACTTTTTATTTGGTATCAATCAAATAAGGTGGAGAGCAAAAAATATTTGATTGTTCAATTAAAATATCCTTTCTAATTTCTTAAAATGTTTAAGTTTTGTTAAACAACTTATGATAGTTTTGTCATATTCTTTCCTTGACTACCTTTAAACCTTTAACTTATCATAGACTTCCTTATAAAATATTCTGATAAGCTGTAAAGAAAATTAAACATTTTATTAACTTTAATAAATCCTAATAAACCAATAATAAATAGTCATTTTACAAATAAAAGTAAAAATAGATACCATTTTATGGTTCTTATATAAAACTAAAAATAGCTACCATCTTAAAGTCATTACGTAAAAGTAGAAATATTTTACAATCATTCAAAAAGAGAAATTATTTAATCATTATTCGTTTACCTTTTTATCAAAGTCATAAAAACTTCCAAAATTAAATAAACTTAACTAATGAGTAGAATTGGGGTTTGGGTTTTCTGAAATCTGCAATGTTTTTTTTATTGGTAGTGTTCTTGTTTTTTTCTATTTCATCTATTTCAATTTAATGAGAAAACTCATTTTTATTATAATAAACCTGACCTTAGAAATTAAAAAAAAAATTTTAACAAAACAAAAAAAAATAAATAAAAAATCATAACTGTTTTTCAGTTCAAGTATTTGACTTTCTTCTACTAAATCGATTTTTTCTGAAATTCTATTCTTTTTAACTTTTTTCTTTTTTTCATTTTTATCAGAGAAAATACTTCCCCAAGAAGAAAATATAGTTGATTCATCATCAGGTAATTTACAACCAAAATTTAAGCTTTCTGATGCTTCTTTCAGCGAAGAAGCTAAAGGATTATTATCTTGTGATTCTGTGTAGTCAATATTTTGATTTTTTAACCATGTCTCAAATGAAATTTCTCCATTCAAGTAACGCAAAAGCTCTGGTTCAGATAGCATTGGTACATTTGGTTCAGATAACATTGGTACATTTTCCATGTTGGTCAACAAAAAACTTAGAAAAGATAAAAATATACAGACCATATCATAAAGTATTATCAAGACAAATCAACAATTTGAACATATAATTGATCAAATTATATTGCTCCCTAGTCCCAATAAATTCTGATACTTTGGAGAAAAACACACTCAATTAAACACACTATTTAAACACTGAAAATTAAAATCTGTTTGTAAACAGTACAATGGCTAAAGGGATTAAGGTTCAAATCCACCCTACACCTATATAAGTAGGGTGTTAGCCAGGAATGAGCTAGTTAACACTCACCCTGGTAAGTGCCATGTTATTTGTCAGTGCAGCAGCTTTGATAAAATTTTGAGATTTAAAAACCCTTTTTTTATATTTTTAAAATTTTTTTAAGTATTGTTTTTATTATTTTAATTTGGTTAAAAATGGAAATGTACTAATTAAAAAATTAAAACATAAATTTAAATATAAAAATAAAAATTGTCATTACTCAATTGTCAACACACAATTGTCAACTAAAAACAATTATAATAAATAATTATAAAATACAACTAAAAACAATTATAATAAACAATTATAAAATAAAAGTAATTTTTAAAAATTACTTTTATTTTATAATTTTTTAAAAATTAAGTAATGAAAAGCTTTGAAAAAGATTAATTATGTCATAATTTTTTAAAAATTAAGTAATGAAAAGCTTTGAAAAAGAATAATTATGTCATAATTTTTTAAAAATTAAGTAATGAAAAGCTTTGAAAAAGAATAATTATGTCATAATTTTTTAAAAATTAAGTAATGAAAAACTTTGAAAAAGATTAATTATATCATAATTTTTTAAAAATTAAGTAATGAAAAGCTTTGAAAAAGATTAATTATGTCATAATTTTTTAAAAATTAAGTAATGAAAAGCTTTGAAAAAGATTAATTATGTCCTAATTTTTTTTAAATTGAGTAATGAAAAGCTTTGAAAAAGATTAATTTTTTCTTTTGTCAGAATTTTATTAGCTTAGAAAATGTTATCTATGTCAAAACTAATCAATTAAACAAATTAAACAAAGCAAATACATTTTATATATAAATTTATAAAATTTCAAGAATTCAACAGCATAAGTATGATTATAGATATTTCATAGAATATCTAATAAAACACAATCATAAATATTCATGACAGTCCATTAAATATTAAACATTTTTCATAGAATATTAGACATGATTATTCATGAATATTTTATGGAATATTTACTGCCAAAAAAATTCAAAAAATTATATTATATCCATATAATCATATCAATTAATATCAATAAAAATGGTGATGATTATAATGAAAGGAAAAAATTCCATGAATATTCCATAGGCATTTCATGAATATTCAGAATCCTTTAAATACATTGAGTATTCATACTCAATTTACAGTATCAACATTATGAGAGTTTTAATACCATACAATTATTTGTAAGAAAAAACAATTTCAACAATATTTATTTTCTTTTTTTACAACAGCATATTTACATAATTAAAAAATAAACAACTGATCTAAAAACTAAAATAATTTGAAAATAAAATATTAAAATTAACAATCCTAGGTAGTTATGTTGGATGCAAATTTTGTATTATACTCAGCAATGTTATTCAAAAAATCTATGATATCAGAGTTTTCTATGTCAAGATCAATGAGCGCTTGAGCAGTCTTGTTCATCCTAAAAAGAAATATATTATCTTTGTTTTTGTTTTAACTATTAATATTTATTCATATTTATCCATAAAGAATGTGACAGGTAGTGTATTCGTATGAAAGAGACAACAAAAACAAGTTTATTATATATATATATATATATATATATATATATATATATATATATATATATATATATATATATATATATATATATATATATATATATATATATATGTATATATATATATATATATATATATATATATATATATATATATATATATATATATATATGTATATATATGTATATATATGTATATATATGTATATATATGTATATATATGTATATATATGTATATATATATATATATATATATATATATATATATATATATATATATATATATATATATATATATATATATATATATATATATATATATATATATATATATATATATACTCTTGCATGTCTCTTGCATGGCATCAAAAAAACTTTCCCATAAACTGTAGTTTTAAAGAGCGCGTTAATAAACCAGAAAAAGTTTTGAAAATTTAAATTTTTTTTTATTGATAGACTGCCTGGCCAAACCAAACCCTCAGTCGATGTAGCAGCACTCTCTTGCGAGTCAGGCTATTTGTCAGTCATTGTAGCAGCACTGCCTTGCAAGTCAGGCTATTTGTCAGTCGATGTAGCAGCATTCCCTTGCGAGTCAAGCTATTTGTCAGTCGATGTAGCAGCACTCCGTTGCGAGTCAGGCTATTTGTCAGTCGATGTAGCAGCACTCCGTTGCGAGTCAGGCTATTTGTCAGTCGATGTAGCAGCACTCCGTTGCGAGTCAGGCTATTTGTCAGTCGATGTAGCAGCACTCCGTTGCGAGTCAGGCTATAAGATAGTCGATGTAGCAACATTTACGCATGTTTTAAAAATGTTTTTTATTAAATCAATAACAAAAACACCACTAATTAAAAAAAACTTTCTAGTTGTTATAATTGCGGTTTTTTAAAAATTTTTTAAAAAATAATTAAATTTAATGTACTTCCGCATAAATTAATTGCTTTGACATTTCAATGACAATCAAAAACAGCTTAAGAGACGAGGTAATTAAAATTGTAGTCGTAAGAGACTTTTTTTACATTAAAACGCTCTTTCAACTACACTATATGGGTATATATATATATATATATATATATATATATATATATATATATATATATATATATATATATATATATATATGAAGACCTCAGTAGAAAAACCGGCGTTGTCACATTTTTCTGATTTTGAGAAAATCAATTTTTAAAGTTTAAAACGCTTTTTAAAGTTTCTATTATACTCAAAAAATGTGATTTTAGGATTTTTATATTGAATAACTATATTTATATCGAATTATTTATTTAAAAAAAAAAAAAAAAAAAAAAAAAATTTAAGATATTTTTTTAAGAAATTGAGTCTTACATTAATAAATGGACATCACTGCGTTTTTCATTGGAAACATTTCCCTGGCGTAATTACTATTTTTAACTACCCTCTTAATGTAAATAAAAACAATTTCGGACCCAAAATGTTCATAAGCCACTTGCTTGTCTAAAAAAAAAAGGCTCCCAAAAACTTAAGGGGCTTTAAATGAAGATAGACCACATTGCTAGCTTTTCTTATTTATCCAACTAAAACTAATTAGGAAGTTGAAAATCAGATGTGTAGTAAGTTTTTTCAATAAAAACAAGCAATACAAAACTATTGAGAAATAATCATTAAAAGAAAATTATTTAATCTGTATCTGAAATTTCTGATTCGGAATCTGGTGTTCCTGTGTTAGTAGTGACTAGATTATCAAAAAAACTATGATTATCAGGTTTGCAAAGGCGCTTAAGAACCTGTAGGTCATTATATTTGGCAGCATTTATTGGCAAAACTGTTGGATGGAGATTATACTGACTTAGAGCAGTGTCTTTTTGATTCTTTCGTCAACGTTTTACCAACACAGTATTTTCGATATTGCCATTCCAGCTGTTATGGTAGAGAAGCAATGAAGGCTGAATATCTTGAAAAACAAGTTCTCTGACTGGTCGAGTTTTTATCGGACATGTGCACTTATAATATTGTTTTAAGAAGTCCGAAAATCTCAAAAAATGTATATTTAAAAAGTTCCCAATATTAAAAGGTGAAGGTTTTTTTCGACAATTCTTGAAAACCTGATGCCAATCCTCTGAGATTTCAACATCAGCCTTTATATTAACATTTACCATGTCACGATCACATTCCATATAAGAATGACCTCTTATGGGAAATGAAACTTTAATACACCTAAATCTTTTTTGATAGTGGACCATCGAATGCAAGAAACGAAACACAGTGTAGTTTTTATTCTGTCCTGCACATCCATCACAAAAGAAATGTAATTCAGAAACGTTGTCAGAAAGATGATTAATAATAAAATGATAAAGCATAGAGCAAACATCATCAGCTCCTTTTTTTCCTACTGTTTCATCATATGTGTAAAGAATAACCTCATCACTTGATAGGATGTGAATATTAAATGAAAAAAATTTAAGCTGCCTTCGGTAATACACATCATTAATGGATTTATTATGCAACGGCAAATTCTTCTAAAAATCAAAAGCAATAGCTTCAAATGTGTCTGAGATTTTTGCTCTATTTTTTGCATCTGATTTTCTGCTATAAAATGAAGCTGCCTTTCTTGTGTGAAATTCATGCTCTGTTTCAAGATCTTTCTTTATTTTTTTAAGTTTGATAATGTCTTCATCAACCAGTTGTAGCAATTGATTTCCGTATTGATTCAATTCTAGATTTTGTTATTCCAAACAAAGACATCATAGCTTTAATGCAAACCGGTACTTCAACAGCTGCTTGTGCTCTTTGCACCCTAACGCTATAAGAATATGAAAGTTATGTAAATATTCTTTATCTTTTTCCTGTCGTGATCTTCGTCTTTTGATATTGTGAATTTTTATTAATATATATATATATATATATATATATATATATATATATATATATATATATATATATATATATATATATATATATATATATATATTAATTAATTTGTTTAATAGCCTGACTCGCAAGAGAGTGCTGCTACATCGACTGAGGGTTTGGTTTGGCCAGGCAGTCTATCAATAAAAAAAAAATTAATTAAGATATATATATATATATATATATATATATATATATATATCTTAATTAATTTGTTTCTTTCTTCAACAGTAACAACCTCAAAACATGCCAGTCTTTTGCATTTGCAGTCTGTTCCACTAATGTGACTTGATAAAATGTGCATTTTTTTTTCTATTTTTTAAATTAACATTAATCTTCCTTTTTCTTGATTTTTCTGTTACAACAGGACAATCGTTGCTCGCCATTATGCTTATTATGTTTTCTTTTCTTTTCCCGCATAATTCAACCAATTATTAACGCTGGACATCGCTGATTATTCCATTGGGATCTGTTTCATTTTATACTCTTTAAAGAGGACTGGGATGTTTTTTTCATTAGTTTTTTAAAAAAATATATGAAATAAATCATACTTAATCGAAAAATAGTAATATCACTGGTTTTTCTTGCTATATATATACCATGCAAGACTATATATATATATATATATATATATAGTCTTGCATGGTATTTGAAAAGTTTTCCCCATAAACTGTAGTTTTAAAGAGAGCGCTAATAAACCAGACCAGAAATAGTTTAAAAACTTGAATAATTTTTTTTTAAATAAATGATAGACTGCCTACCCTAACCAAACCCTCAGTCAATGTAGCAACACTCCCTTGCGAGTCAGGCTATTTGTCAGTCCATGTAGTAGCATTCCGTTGTGAGTCAGGCTATAAGATGGTCGACGGAGCAACACTCCCTTGTAGCAGCATGCTATAAGACAGTCGATGTAGCAACACTCTGCACATGTTTTAAAAAAATATTCTAATAAAACAACAACAAAAACATCATTAATAAAAAAAAATTTTCTAGTCATTATTATTGGGGTTTTTTAAAAAAAATAATAAAATTTAATGTACTTCCCCATTAATTTAATTGCTTTGACATTTCAACGATAAAATAAAAACAATAAAATGTGGTAGGCTCTCTTGTCAAACCGTTATTCCGACGCTGTCCTCAAGGTCCGAAAATGTAAAAAAACGACTTTTTTATTTAAAAGAGAACCTGCCTACTCCAAACCCTCAGTCATTGTTTCCACACTCCGCTGCATGTTTTCTCCAAAAATCAGTCGGTGTATGTGCACACCGCAGCGCAGATCCCTATATACCCCATTTCACCTATTTTCTAGAAATACAAGCTCACGGACGCAAAGGACGCTCAACGTCGGAATAGGGGTTTGACAAGAGAGCCTACCATAAAATGTTGCTTAATTCTTCAGGAAGCAAAATTGTAGTCGTAAAAGACTTAAATTAAAAGTCTCTTTATACTACGATATAAGGATATATATATATATATATATATATATATATATATATATATATATATATATATATACATACATATATACATATATACATATATATATATATATATATATATATATATATATATATATATATATATATATATATATATATATATATATATATATATATACATACATACATACATACATACATATATATATATATATATATATATATATATATATATATATATATATATATATATATATATATATATATTTTATATTTTACTTCACCTCCTCAAGGCCGAGAAGGCCACTACAAACGAGGAGGCTACTTATTTTGTGGCTATAACCCTCTCTCAACTCTATAACTCCGAAACACGAACCTTGACAAACAAGGCCGCTGCGCGGAGAAACGAGTTGAGCGCGGTACTACCAGGGACGTGGGGACGTGGTGGGGATCGAACTCGGAACCACTCGTTTATGAAGCGAGCGCTCTACCACTACACCACTACCGCATAATATATATATATATATATATATATATATATATATATATATATATATATATATATATATATATATATATATATATATATAACCCTCGGAATTAGAGTTGGCATTCGGCAATGCCGACCTAACTGACAACATGAAAATGTTTAAGATTGGCAAAAAATTGCCAACATTGATTCTATGTTTTATAGCAAGACCTTTGTATCAAATTTTTTTGCCAACCTGATGCCAACCTTTAAACGATTGAGGTCTTTTATTTTAAAATTATTACTGACATCATATATATCATATATCATATATATATATATATATATATATATATATATATATATATATATATATATATATATATATATATATATATATATATATATATATATATATATATATATATATATGTATATATATATATATATATATATATATATATATATATATATATATATATATATATATATATATATATATATATATATATATATGTTTTTGAGTTAATGAAACTTGATTTGGTACATATTTAGCTAGACCTTCCTTGTATTGAAACTCAATAAGTTGGTTTATTACAATGGGATTGTTTTTGAATTTTTCAAGTTGATTCCTCCATTCTGTATCTGTAAAAAATTTGTTTAGGTTTTTATAATCACCTCTAGCGTAGTTTGGTTTGGTTAGTGATTTCAACCTAGAAGGGGAGATTAATGGTTCAAATAAGAAACTCCATATAAGAGTGCAATGGAAATTATTTTTAGTTGAGCTGCTAAGAGATGGACCAATATTGAGTTCTATAATTCTGGAGGGACAGTCAGTAAGCACCAGGTCAAAGGTATTATTGCCAAAAGTAGGTTTCATGACATGCTGAGCAAGAGCTGCAGACTCCAAAAAGTCAGTGCTTAACATAGCTGCACTATTAGTGCTGCCACCAGCTGACGTCCACTATATTTGAGGGTCATTAAACCAATTATTTGTAAACCAATTATTTGTAATTCCATGCTTTTTTTCTTTGCTATATTTGCAGCAGAAATTAAGCTACCATTACTATTACTACTAGATTTATTGTTGATATTTAAGGAGACGGTGTTTTTGTTACAGATAGTTAACTGGACATGCTTAGTATTAAACATGAAGTTTTTTATTAATTGCTAACAACTCTGGATATTATCTTGATTTTCTGGTGTTGATTATGTTGTGATACTTGTCCTTGATTAAAAAGACCTTGATTAAAAAAGTAGTTAGATTCAAACTCTGATAGCTCTACTGTTATTTTATATGAATCTTTCAATAACCAGCTTGCTTATTTTAGATTTTAATAAAAGGCCAGATATTTTCAAATGGTTTATATTTTAAGAAATTTTAAAACAATCCACCTTTTCAAAAATATGTAATTGCTTGCACTAACAATGAAAGAATGAAATTAAATATCAAAATTTCACCAAAACAAAATTAACCTTTCTATTTGATCAGGGCTTTGAAGACTCACTTTAGTGATTGGCTCATTTTTCTGACACTGTTCAGTTACCTAAACAAAAAATAAATATACAGGGTAAATTTTATATCATATACAAATGACACCATTATATATAAATGACATCATCATATAAATTACATCAAAAAGTCTCTAACCTTTAATGTTCGACAGATAAGATCCTCAGGTATACCTGCAGAACGAGCTGTGTAACAAGCATAACTATAATTGGCATAGCCATCTTTTAGATGATACAAAAAAATCAAATCTCCGTCATTCTCTATTACCTCCATTGTCTAGTGAATGTAAAAATCATAGTGGCAATACAATAAACAATATATAATAGAATTAAAAATAACTAACAAAAAATAACCACACATTTTTTTAAAACTGCTTTTATTTTCTTGTATTAATATACAGTTAGGGTTAAAAAGATAAGTAAAACCACTCATAATTATTTTAGTTATAATAATTATTGTTTATAATAAATTAAAAAATACAAATTACAGATAAAATCCTCAAGTATGTTTGCAGAATAAACCATGTAACAAGCATAACTATAATTGGCATAGCCATCTTTTAAACAATACAAAATAATCAAATCTTCATTGAATCAATATTTATTACCTTTATTGTCTAGTCAATGTAAAAATCAAAGTGGCAATACATTATATAATATACATGTTTACAACATACTAAATAATTATGTTGTGCAAGTGATTGTGTAGTTATCAAACAATACAAAAATATCTTATATACTACAAAAATACATTAGAATAAAGGAGAATTATTTATTAGACAAAGCATTTTTGACAGTTGTCAAGACAAAAATAAAGATTAATAGAGGAATATTTAAAAATAAATAAGACAAGCTATACAACCAAAACAGTACTCAACCATAATAACAATAAAAATAAAATAAAAAAAAAATAAAATAAAATAAAATAAAAAATAAAAATACAAATAAAAACAAATAATAATAATATATATATATATATATATATATATATATATATATATATATATATATATATATATATATATATATATATATATATATATATATATATATATATATATATATATATATATATATAAATAAATAAATAAAAAAAAAAAAAATTGTTTAATAATTACCAATATGAACTAAAATATACAAGAAATACATAACCAGTCAAAAATTTGTAAAACAAAAAACTATTCAACAAATTAAAAATATGCTAACGACAATGAAAGGACTAATAATGGAAAAAAAACATTAATGCTAATGTGTAAACATAATTAGTGTAGTGATAAGTAATAAACATCTCCTCAGAGTCGCGTCTATTATTACTGGCGTTTCGATGAGGATCAGCATTTATAACTAGTTTATCCCGTCAGACAAACGTCATTGCCACTTATGCTTTACCCCGCGACTTACGCCTATTCCATACTGCAGTAAAAAAGGACTCACTACAAATAGCCAAAACCCAACCAACCCCAAATTTGTAAAGCACCAATATTTCTTTTGATGATATGATATAAACAGTATAGAATTACTGAACAAACAAAAATAAAAATAAATAAAAAAAAAAAATTAAAATAAAAAACTTATCATACCACCAAAAGAAAACATGAAAACAAAATAAATTAAAATTCTAATAGAAACATAAAAATATTAATCAATTTATTTTAAAAAATAAAACCAAATAGGTATTATTATCAGAAAGTAGTATACCTCATTAGAAAAAATTTTTTAATCAACAAAACAACAATAGCCTTAAATAAACTCTAACGCTGTCATAGATACCTCATTCGAAATATGATAACCAATCAAAAGTGTAGGAAAATGAGTAACCCGCGAAACCCAAAATCATAACAATAATAGAATAATATATGATAGCGAAAAAGAACGTTGCACAAAAACCTTAAAAATTTAAGCGACATATATGTAAACATTAAATGAAGGATATAAAAATATTCTCTGAATAATAGTAAAGATGAAAATTGTGCATGTGAAAATTAAAACAAAGCTGAGTAATGAATTCAAGATAATATAACATGAAAGTTTCTGTAAACAGTAATAATATGAAAATCAGGAGATAAGTAATATATTAATAAATATAGCAATAAGACTAACTAAATATTGTAATAAAACCAGATAATTTTAAGCCAAATGAGTGGTTAAAAAATTAGTTGTGGGTTATATAACAATGATATAAATCGTGATATAAAAACGATGGGAAAAAAAATTGTTAAGAAATGAAGTTTTCTCTATGGTCCGAACTAAAAGAAACTTTGAGACCATATCTAAATCGAAATTTCCGAAAAGTAAAGGTTTCTCTACGGTCCGAATTAAATGTAACTTTGAGACCATATCTAAATCGAAATTTCCGAAAAATAAAGTTTTCTCTACGGTCCGAATTAAATGTAACTTTGAGACCATAACAAAATAACAAGGAAAAAGATACTTCATAAAAACAAGTCGAAAGCCGCTAGTTTATAAGAATCGCTCTTATGCTTATATGTATATGCATATGAATCCTTTAATGAAAAATTCAATCACACATGATAAACACATATAGATAACATATAAATCTGTATCTACAATTCAACAACATATCTATTAAAAGAAAATATTATCTAAATAAGGATGAGTTCAAACAAAGATAGTTTATCTATGAAAGAACAAAAAGCATGCAAAAGATGTAAACAGGCTGTATGTGCATAAGGGTGTATAGGTGAAATGTGTAAGTCTGTGCTGTTTATGTCGTTCAGTAGAGTCTTGTATTGTTAGTAACCAGCGTAAAAGATTTGTCTGTGAACCAAACCAAGCAAGCCCAGCCATACTCCAGAAAACCATGATAGATTAAACACCTATGCATGGATTTATAACTGACTTATGACTAAAAAGCTAGCCAAGGCATCTTCCACTGACAAAAATCCTCTTTCGCGGTGAAAGTAATTGCGATTAGGAAAATAGTCGTGCTCGATGACCGTAACACTAACCCTTACGGGCTAGGCCCAATATATGCATTAAAATAAAGTACAACTTTTAAGATTTAAAAAAAAAAATTAACAATGGTTGGTTGCCCCTTTTTCCTATACAGAACTCAAAAACTGTCCAAGGGCACTGATGTCCAGCACTTATTTGGACCCCTGTATGTGTGTATATATATATATATATATATATATATATATATATATATATATATATATATATATATATATATATATATATATATATATATATATATATATATATATATATATATATATATATATATATATATATATAAACAGCAGAATCCCATTAATTCGGACTCTGAACGGGTATAAATATTTTGACCGACTTGTCAAAATATATATACCCAATATATATTCATGTATTATAAAATATATAAACATATATTGAATTGTATTATATTACATTTTTAATATATATATATATATATATATATATATATATATATATATATATATATATATATATATATATATATATATATATATATATATATATATATAAATATATATATATATATATATATATATGTATACATATATATATATATAAAATGTAACATAATATAATGTAAAGTTAAAAATGTTTTACATAAAGATTATCAGAAATGCTTTTTTGATGTAACAGTGTAAAATAAAAAAAGTTTGATTAAAAAAAAAAGAGTGACTATCTACTAATTTATTTTTGCTCTGTTCTTTTAAGACCATTAGGCACTTTATTTTGTAGAATACATTTAAAATTATTTGTATATATATATATATATATACACATAAGTGCGGCTACATCATAGATGGTAAAAACCTTTTAACTACATAACCAACATTTTATGCATTGAAATATTTTAGTTAAATATTTATTCAAAAATTTTAATAAGAATGTGAGACCTGGTATTTTATAATAGGAGAGCTAGGTAGGAGTTGTTTAATGCTGTGAAAATGAGTTGAAACAAGTATTGAAGGACAATTTATTTCATCCTGCAACCAATAGAGTAATGTCGAAGAAAGCAATGCAACTCCATCGATCTAATAAAAAAAAAGTTACTAAGTAACAATACTATTATGATTTTAAATTTTATATATATATATATATATATATATATATATATATATATATATATATATATATATTATATATATATATATATATATATATATATATATATATATATATACATTGTATATATATTTATATATAAAAATGGAATATATTAATAAAATATATATCAATGATGCATTTTGAATATATACTTAATACATTCACTCTATAAATACTAGGATTCAAGAACCAAAACTTTTCTATTGCAGTACACACAATTCTCTTCTATTCACTCCCATATTTGAAAAAGTTTTTTCTCTCTGTTTTCTAATGTATGATGAATTTTTTTTTACACCTTGTTGAAAAAAATCATATTTTAGAGAAGATATGCAAGAACTTTTAGAAACTTTTTCAAACTTTTTTACTGTTCATTCAAGAATAATCTATAATATTTTCAATTATTTGAAAATATTTTAGATTTATTAAAAAAGTTGGATAAAAAGCTGGATAAAAATAAAAAAGGTGGATAAAAAGTTTTGATGTGCTTATCTCAGGCAGTTCATATCATTTTGCAAAATAAAATTCTGACTAAAGAAAATGAAATCATTTTTTATGATTTTGATTCTGTATCTTACCCTAAATTATTAGCCAAACTTTGTTTAATATAAGAAGTAATTTAAAAATT